ATTCCTTTAAAATGGGCTGTCTTTTTTGTTTGTTTTAACTCAGTGGCTTCTGTGCTCTGTGTGTGTGTCCCTGAAAAAACTGAAATTCTCTGATAGCATATTTTATTCTTTTTTAATCTTTTTCTGCATTTCCTAAATTCTTAACAATGAAAATCTATTCCTCCTATATTTAGAAGGTAATTCCCCCGCCTTTAAAAAACAAAAAACAACCTCTTACACAAAATCAAGAGTGAAACATTTAGGACCTAGATACTAAGATATATTCAAAGAAGTCCAAGTATGTGATCACTCACAGGGAAAAAATGAGGAAAGATGAGGGTGACATCATGGTTTAGAGCATATTTTGTCTGGCTTCTCAGCACACCTTAAATGTAGGGTGTTTGTTACTCATCTGGATTGAACAGGCTTGCCGTTGGCATGATTATGTCATATATTTCAAGCCCTTTAGTTTATTAGATCCTGATAACTAACGTCGTATCTGCAGCAGTGCTCACCAGTATTCCAAGGAGAGCAGTACTCCCTGAGGAAGGATTAAACATCCCCACCTAGGTGAACTCAGGTCTGGCCCTGTGATTTGTTTCCCCCATGAAGGTGAGAAACATGACATTTCAGGGGGATGCTTTCCAGTGGGGTTGTCGTTTCCCCCCCACCTCCCTATCTCCATCAACCTCAGTCTCCACGTGACTATGGTAGCAGAGGCCTCGGGCCAACTTGCAGTGACATGTAGCAAGAGCAAGAAAAAAGCTGAGTCATCGGGCCCTGGGGTTGTCAGTTAGTTACTGCACCATCACATGGCCTCCCCTCCCTAATGCAGTGGAAACCCAGGGAAAGAGACTACAAAGGATCTTTGGAAAGAAAAGGAAGATTGCACATACTCGATTGCAAAACGTATTTTAACTCTCTGACCTCCTGTTCTATGCTCTTGCTATTTTTACACGCTGCAGTTATTCCTCTTGATATTTCACTAACTTAGCAAAAGGTTCTAGTGCTTTTTGAGCCTGATTAACAAGGAAGCAAAGGGAAAATCTTGGCTGTCTCAGAAGCTTTAACATTTCTAGCACAGCTCATACTCTGCACTAAATTACACTGCTATGAACATAATCAAGCACAAACAAGGCCACATTTCTGTAATACATTACCCAACTCATGATTCCCTCCACCTCCCAGTCTCAGAAGAGACTGCAACGGGAACCACACAAGCAGCTCTGAGTAATTTTTCCCAGATTCATTTTACTCCAGTTCTAAGATGAGTTTAGACCGAATATTTTTGCCTCATGGAAGCTAACTTAAATCATTTCAGTAGATTCAGGCTTAGCTTGTGAAGTGTGCATATCAGGCGGCAGAAATGCCCCGGTATTGCATCAGGGATATGCAAATATAAAGAAATAGCCCCTCAAATAACAGTAAGGCAAGAACATTTTTTCATAAAACTTGAGGGAAATCGTGCATGAAAGAAATGCAGGAAAGAGTGAAATTACTTTTAACAAGGTGAATTGAGATCATCGTCTTCTGGAGCCAAGGAGCTTCTCATGAGCTGAGGTACCTTACAATGAAGCACACACGTGCGCGCGCGCACACACGCACACTGACATGCTATCTAAAATGGAGCATTGTACACATGCACGGCCACATAGAGAGGACCATACATGGAGAAATGGACACACACAAGCATGCACACTGTCTTCATTGGAGCAGTGTCTCACACACACACACACGCACCTGGACACGCACCACCTACAGTGGAGTAATGCACACACACTGGAAATACCACAAGAAGTATTTGTATCAAATTGAAATGAAATTTGTAGATTGCTGTGACTTTTTTAAAAAATGCCTTCTCAAACCACTAAGAGCTGCGGCTTTGTCTTATATGTTGATGTAAACATTTTGGGGTTGGGCAGTGAATTTCTGCTGTCGTAAAATTTTCAGCAAACTTGAGTCTTGACTTAAATAGGTAAACCACAGTGTTTTATCAACACAAAATTTCCCTGTGGTCCAGGTCAACGTTGCCCAAGATGTTAATCTTTGACAAATTAAATGCTGTAAATTCTGGCTAAGGCATGAAAACACAGTAATATCAAAAACATCAACTCCATATGTAGTTCTTTTAACCACGTCACATGTAGGAAGCTTGGGGTGGGCAGGAATCTACCATTTAATACTGATGGTAGCCAAAAGGACTCCCACTGGCCAACTCGGGGACAATTAGAGCATCCAAAAGAAGAAGAATGCTAATTGATTATAACACATGTAACCAAAACAACAACGATTACCAAAAAAAGAAAAAAAAACCATGAGACTCTAATGATGCACAAAAGTTAGGGTACAGAAATCAAGCTCTTCTTCTTAGAGAATTTTGGCTAAGAACTTGCAGAAGACCTCACACAGTGTTAATGTGTCAATTATATCTTAATAAAGATGAAGGGGAAATGAAAAAAGAATAGTTTATAAAAGAAATGATCAAATTAGTAATTCACCATTCTGTAACCAGCAGTGTAGTACTTCAAACAGGAACAGTTAGGGGATGGGTATGAACCTATCTTCACAGTCCCAAAATATCACCCCCCTGGCCCCCATTGACTCATTCCTTACACGGGAAAGAAGGTCCCTGCATGACAAGGATATTGAGTGGGCACAGCCCTAACCAACTAACCAAGCTCAGCAAAAGCAATAAAAAGTCACCTTGAGCATTAGATCCCCTGGTATAACTCAATGAAAGGGACACAGTAACACCTCTTCAGTGTTCTTGCCAAAATTGTCCAACCTGCGTGGAATCATGAGGAGACAGGCAGACAAATACAGACCATGGGACGTTATAGAAGACAACAAGCCAGGACTCTTCAAAAACGTCAATGGCATAAAAGAAAAACTGAAGGCAGACAGACTGTTCTAGATTAAAGGAGATTACAAAGTCATAGCCAAATGCAGGGCATGATTCCTAACTGAATCTCAGACTTTTTTAAAGGCTCTGGAAGCACATTCTGTACTGACATCGGAAGCTCCTAGAATCTACTGAGTGGACACAGGTGTCAGTGGCCAGGCAGGTGTGGTGGCCTCCTGCTGCTATGGAGGCTCACTACATTGGAGGGGCACGGGACAGGTCTGGGGGCAGGCTGCTTTTGTGGTGGCATTTGGGCAAGGCTGAGACAACCTGTCCAGGTGAGACCCCTGGCACTGACCTGCAGGCAACACACTCACACCCACTGCAGCTGAAACACACTCCCTGGCCCTAGGACCCATTAGGGTCTATCATTTTAAGGGGAATTCCCTTGGCCTAGTCCCTTTGGGCTCCTCTAACAAAGTACCATAGACTGGGCAGCTTGTAAACAACAGACATTTATTTCTCACTGTTCTGGAGGCTGTGAAGTCCAAGATCAAGGTGCTAGCAGATTTGGTATCTGGTGAGGGCCTGTTTCCTGGTTCATAGAAGGTACCTTCTCCCTGTGTCCTCACATGACAAGAGAGGAGAGGGAACTCTCTAGTGTCTCTTTTACAAGGGCGCTAATCCCATTCATAAGGGCTCCACCCTCGTGACCTAATTACCTGTCAAAAGCCCCACGTCCAAATACCACTGCCTTGGGAGTTAGATCTCCACATACGAATTTAGGGGAGGACATCAACATTCAGTACATTGCATTCCTGGAGTAGCTTAACACAGTTGCCCCTATCAAAGCCCGGCGTTATTTTGTTAGTGGCAGCTGTATTGAAACAGAGATCCCACCAACAATTTCTAAAAGGCAACAGATGATTAGAACTTACTAGACTGGTGATTTGTGCCTCAGTTTATATCACTTGGAAGGCAGTTTTAATGATATACGGTTTAGGGAGAGAATAAAATGGACTATTTTTGAAGGGAGTGTATTACTTTATATTACCAAGTATTTTGTATGTTTTATATTACTATAGATTTTGTATTTTATTACTAAGGGGTAATTTTGATAGTGAAATATATGTAAAGTCCTACATTAAGTGCCCCTTACACAGTAGTATCCGCTAAATTTTACTTTCTTTTCTTCCAGGAGAATATCGAGATCTTTGACAAAGTAATGAAAAGCAAGAGATGGAACAGGTGCCCTCAAATAGGCACTTGTGTACAAGCCATTCATTGGAATCCCCAAAGGCTGTAAGCTCTTAAGTCTGAAAAGTGCACCCCGTCGCCAGCCCTAACCTAATCCCACAGGAGTTCCCAGCTACTTAAGCAAGTACTTCAGTTGCAGCGAAATTACATTTACACACCGGTGCCAGAAGGAAAAATAACAATGGAAATGGAAATTCAACTTAAACACTGTCACTGAGGCACATTTCACGGACTGCAAAACTGAAGGGACATAAACTGTTTCCAATTTCCCTCAGCCCTGAAAAGAAGAGCATGAATCAGGTAATAAATCAAACTTTAATTTATAAACTTCTTGGGATCACACTTTCATGGATGATTATTTTATTCCAGAACTACTTCTGAGCCTCCCTCGTCAGTAAAAGAAACATATAAGCACCTCATTTATTTACCAGTCGCGACTGATGGCTCTCATTCCCCAGCCCACCTCCCAAAATACATCTGCGCCTGTCACTGGTTTTTTTGTTGTTGTTGTTGTTGTTTTAATGTGATCCTGAAAGGTCACATTTCAGGGCATTTCCCAATCACATGGAAGTCAGTTTTTATAAAATTACATCATGCCATGCTCTCAGTAAATAAAACGTTTTAATTGGGTGAGAAAAGGGATTTACTACTTCTATAGCCCTTTGTAAATATTCCTTTCGCTTTACCGGCATGAAAGCCCCCATGTCTGTTGTTTCCTGTCTTTAACATCTGTTAGAGGGAGTTGCTGTTTCTCACGTGGACTGTGGGTGAAGCATGCCCTCACACTTCTGCAGCACTTGGGACACAATGTGTATCCCGGGCCTTCACTGCCTCTGCCGAATGGATGAGAGCTGACCTACTCTTCCCCGTGTGGGTGGGTATCCAGGAGGCTTTGACACAAGGAAGAACCCCCATATGAGTGGCTGCACCTATGCTTTTTCTTCTCCCTTATTAAAAACAAAGCAGTAAACTGTCAACAATTTCCTATTTAGTAGTCAGACCACCTTGAGAAAGATAGGTTGTCCGTTTACAGGTATTTTCTCCCTCTGTCCAAATCATGAGACTAAGAGTCATGTAGATACTTCATTTAAAAATTATAAATAAAAACCCCAAGTCTCTCAAGCAGGGATCAGCAAACTACACCCTTGGGCCAAATAAGCCACACCTATTTTTATAAATAAAGTGTTATTGGCACTCGGCCACATCCATTTGTTTTACATATCGTCAAAGGCTACAAGGTCGGATGAAGTTGGGAATTTTCAACAAAGATCCTATCTGTCTACCACAGAGCTCACAAGAGTCACTATCGAGCCCTTGACAAAACACGTTGGCCAATCCCTGCTTTAAAGCCATGTCGTCTAACAGAAATAGAATGCAGACCACGTATATAATTCTAAATGGTTTAGTAGCCATATTAAAAATGAAAAAGAAACAAGTTAATTTTAATAATATATTTCAGCCCAGTAGATGCAAAATGGTATGACTTCAACATATGACCCAACATTGATACTAAAGTTATTAATGAGAAACCCTTTTTCTTCATATTAAAGTCTTAGGAAGCTGGTGTCTTTTTTTTTTTTTCTTCATGTGAAGCCTTAGAAGTCTACCTCACATAACAATTCAGACTAGTCACAGTTCAACAGGTTAATAGTCACTTGGTCCCTGTAGGTCTAAAGGGCATGATAAGTGAGAAGAGAAAAGGAAATAACGAGTTTTTCCATGAAGGCTCCAGCTTCACTCAAGTGAAATGTGAGATAACAGACTTTCTGCTCATTCTAAGTATATCCCAAGCAATATTTGGGATGTACTTGATATTAAAACATCGTTCGCTGTGTGTCCAAAATTCACACGTAACTAGGTGTCCTGTAATTTATCTGGCCACCCATTCCTCGGCCCCTGAATTTTCCTGTTTAGTAAAAATTCAAGCGGGAGGCAGCAAAAGGAGGGGATGGTCTCTGATGCCCTCCAGTCAGCTTGGTTGCCTCACCTCATTATTTCATTGATTCTGAAAATTGCTGGTGTGTGCACACTCACTGGCCTGGGAAATCAATTAATGCTAAATTTATCCAGCCCAAGGGCTGCCAGGGGTCATGCAGAAGCCCAGGCTGCACCCCTCAGCACGAGTCAGCAATGCCATCACCCACCAATGAGTCCGGAAGTTGAAACGCAGAAGCAATCTTCCTTTTAAGAAGGTTTTGCTCTTAAAAAAAAAAAAAAAAAAAAAGTGTGTTGTCCCACCAAGGCACTAGAAACACCTTACACAGAAAAGAAAGAGTCCACACAAGAGTCATGATAAAAATGGACTACAAATAATTTTTCTTACTCCTGTGCAGGGGAAAAACATATTGACTGTATCCTTTCCGCCTTCGGGGGAAAGGAGGGCAGCCCTTCTAGAAGCACTGAAGTGCAGAATTAGGGAACACCTAGTGAGATGACCAAAGAGTAATTTTAGAACATGAGAGCTGTCTGGGAATCCACATAAAAATCCAAGTTGTGAAAACCAAGCTTCATGTGTTCTGTTTCCTATAGTCAAAAAATTCCGAAAGTATTCTCTCTTCTTAAGGCAGTGGTAACAGGATGAAAATCGGATTGTGTGGAACAGAGTATCGTCTGGTGAGAGAACAGTTCGGTTTGGCAGTCGGGGACTCAGCAGATGAGTGAATTGCTTGGCAACGGCAGCATGATCAAAGCTGTCTACACAATTCGAACAAGTAAGAATAGACCCCAAAAATGAAGGAGAAAATGATCTAGTGACAGCTGCAATTATGCATTTTTTTTTTCATTTGCTCATCTTGAAAAATCATTTGGGAGAAACTTCCTCACAGAAAGAACAGAGAACCTTTATGTCATTCTTTTTCAAATTAACTCACTTGCTGAGCTGAAGATTCGAAGCACTTCATCGATCCGTTATTTAATGATGGCTCAAAAGATGTTTTGTGCAGAATGAGGATTATCTTTCTGTTGGAACAAAAAATTTTTTTTTAATCGTGTGCACGTTAATATGTCCAAATGAACATCAAACTCCAGAAGACTGAAATAACTCCACCCCATCCGGAGACACCAGAATTTTCAAAGTTCTCTTGTTATTTCAGCTTCTAGCCTCAGTTACAAGTGAAGGCATTAGGAGGACTTGAAAGGTGTCCAGAATCCCGCAGATACTCATCAAGCTCTCACAGGCTCCCTCCATTTGGATCGGTACCATGATTTAGTCTTATTTTCCTGACGTCTTGCCCACTTTGAGATTCCTTTATGCTACAAACCAGAAAGCTCACTCCAAAATAGAAAGCACAAAATGCACTGCAAAAACAACAGCCTGCATCCTGTCCATAGGCTTATAAACTAGTTTTTTCTTCTCTCTGTAGTGGGAGGCCATCAAGAAAGTAGTTCATCAAATTCTCAAATGTATTATTGGACATAAAGATTTCTTTCTCTCATAGGTTTAAAAAAGAGTAGACTGCCAAGTGTCTGCATTTGCAAGCCAGTTTTAAGGTATGCTGTATGCATTCTAGAATTCCTCAGGAAGGTGAAATAAAATCACTGCGAAAGTACTTCATGCCTCTGAACTGTGCAAAGATGGTGAAAATGGTAAATTTGGGGTTGTGTATATTTTACCACAATAAAAATAATTTTAAAATAGAAATATAAAAAAATGGAATAGGGCTTCCCTGGTGGCGCAGTGGTTGAGAATCTGCCTGCTAATGCAGGGGACACGGGTTCGAACCCTGGTCTGGGAGGATCCCACATGCCGCGGAGCAGCTAGGCCCGTGAGCCATAACGACTGAGCCTGCACATCTGGAGCCTGTGCTGCGCAACAAGAGAGGCCGCAACAATGAGAGGCCTACGCACCGCGATGAAGAGTGGCCCCGCTCGCCACAACTAGGGAAAGCCCTCGCACAGAAACGAAGACCCAACGCAGACAAAAATTAATTAATTAATTAATAAACCCCTACTCCCAACATCTTCTTAAAAAAAAAAAAAAAGGAATAAAACCAAATAGCCATAAAACATCACGCATAACACAGTGTTGATGGCAAGTCTTGGGCCTACATTGCTGGCATCTACCAGATGCCAAATCTGCTTTTCCTTCATGACCTGAAGTTCCAGAAATTGCTCCCCATACTAACCACAGTTTTTGGTCCAACTGGCCATTCAGTCCTATAAGTAAACAGGGCTATAATTTAAATATGCTGTTGAAACACAGGATTATCTAGACTGTTCAACATCACAGTCCAGTTATTTTGCCCTAAGGTGCAAACAGAATTCCACTTAAATATTACCGTAATAACCAGTTACATCTTCGAATTCCGTGGCCACATTCATAGTTCCCCTTCTGTTGATAGTTAGCAGTAATTTCTGTGTAACGGGAAATTGCACTTATCATTTTCATAAGCGATCAAATTCTTTAATGAAGATTTTTGGGTTTTTTTTTCCCCTACCAACAGGTAACTTAAGAGTAGGTATATTTGGACTTTTTTTTTTAGGATTAAACATTCCATATAAAATTTCACACGTTTCTCATCTACTACACTGGTTGGCTTTGGGAATGGTATTCACCTCTGTGCTCTATTAGTTGTGGGTCTACACATGGCACTTTGTGGACTTGGAGAAAGATGGGGGAGTCCAGAGGGAGGGAGGGCATTGCTGAGCAGAGACTTAGTAAGACATGAGAGTGGAAGGGACTAAAGGAAGGGGGAGGAATGTGGGTACCCAGCAGAGCAGGTAAGACTGCACAGGCTGGGGAAAGTATTCCAGGCTGAGGAGTTTAGTTTACACCCAGAAGGGAAGTGGGGTACCTACCATTGGATGATTTTAAGCAAGGAGGCATGTAGTGAGGTAGATAGCAGCCCCCAAAATATATGTCCAAGTCCTAACTCCTGACACCTCAGAATGTAACCTTATTTGAAATAGGGTTTTTTGCAGATGTAATTAAGGTAAGGATCTTGAGATGAGATCATCCAGGTTCACAGTGGGCCCTAAATCCAATGACTCGTGTCCCTGAAAGAGAAAGGAAACGAAGGTTCGAAACTCAGAGGCCAAGACTCCATGTGAAGATGGAGGCAGAGATCAGAGTGGTGGCCCCACAAGCCAAGGCAGCTGATGGCCACCAGAGCTGAGAGAGGGACATGGGATGGATTCTCCCCCAGAGCTTCCGGAGGGGCCAATCCTGCTGACACCTTGATCTCAGTCTTCTGGCCTCCAGAACTGTAAGAGAGTACAGCCACCTGTTACAGGTCATTTGTTACGGCAGCCCTAGGAAATGAACACAGATTCATATAATCAGGTTTGCATTTCAGAAACATATTCTGACTTTGGTAGAGGAAAATAGCTTGAACTAAAACGCAGACCAGTTAGGAAGACTGTAATAATCCAGATGAGACCTGAAAAGACCCCGGAGTGTGGCAGGGATGCTGAAGATGAGGTTATTAAGGCAAAGGCCTTTCACAGACATTGTCACACTCGGGGTTGGGGGTGGGAAGTGGGAACCAAGGACAGAGCTACCAAGTGGAGAGAGGGCACACGGGGAGGTGTTACCAGGAAAGAAGGGCAGCTGGACCCCAGAGATGGCAGGGAAGGTGGGCGTGGATGCAAGTAAGAGTCATCATTGCCAAGTTAAGAAATGAATGACTTTCTACCTACTGACCATCGTTAGGCAAGGTCATCCGCTTAGAGTATGCCGAGAAGGGGCTGGGAGAAAGCCGTGTCGTTTCGATGCAGTTAGGCCTGGAGGATGGAATAGAAAAGAGGGGCTCGCAGAATCACTTGCTCTCAGGAGGGCCCAGCTGGGGTTGAAGATCATGATCTGTAGTAACATGAATTCACTCAGTTGTGCAATTTTTCTTTAGCAGCCATCAGCAGCTTGGATGTGGACCAAGGACGACAGATGGCTGGGCTGATTCAGGATCACGCTTCCGCAAAGAGCAGTACGTAACTTTTCAGTTTGTTTCCAATATGAGCTCTGTTGGACCGATTGACTTGACTTCAGTAAATTCTCTACTGTAAACGTCGGGTACAAAAAATACTCCCTAATGGATACATTGTGGCACTGTCTTCCGCTGAACACTCGGATAGCCTTTGAGAATGAATGAGCTCTAGCTACGCAGACAGAGGAACATGAGGCCTGTAACGGTGAGTGACAGATGTAAGACCCCGAAGATACACGCCGTACGATCCATTAATACAAAATTCATTCTGTTTAAGGGTATAGACGTGGAGTAAAGCTACAGAGAAAAGCAAGGAGATGATTATCCCCAAAGTCAAAAGAGTGGTAACTTGTAGTGGGCAAAGATGGGTGAGGCGACCACTGGCAGTGTTCTCTTCCCTGACGAGTGATTGCTGATTGTTCCTTTTCTATTATTTGGTAAAACATGCATCTTGAATGCATTTTTATGCCCATAGATCATACATCATAGTGAAAGAAGAAAGGAGGGAATCTCTGTGACTCTATAAATAGCATTCAATATCATTTTAATTCTCTACAAAACAGAGGTTAGTTAGTATTCTAATAAGCCAGGATTTTTTCCCCCCAATGGCAAGCATGAGCAACTCAAATTGTGTTTAAAAAAAAAAAAAAAAATGCTACCTACTATGGTCTTTCTCTCTCCACTCCCTGGCTTCATGTTTCTCAATGCCTCAGTGCTGTCTTCAGTCTGAAGGACTGATAAAGATGGATTTATAAACAAACAAATCTCTTTGTTAGAAATTCTAGCAAAAGCCCACATCTGGCTGTCCCTAGATCATGGGTCACAAACTTCTGCCTAACCAGTCACTGTAGACAAGGGATTTGAAATGCTGTTTGGCCGGGCCTGGTCTTCAGGTCTGCCCCTGGAGCTTTATATCACAGGGCCTGAGAGTTCCCTAAAGAACACATAGCCGGGGCTTCCCTGGTGGCGCAGTGGTTGAGAGTCCGCTTGCCGATGCGGAGGACACGGGCTCGTGCCCCGGTCCGGGAAGATCCCACATGCCGCGGAGCGGCTGGGCCCATGAGCCATGGCCGCTGAGCCTGCGCTCCGCAACGGGAGAGGCCACAACAGTGAGAGGCCCGCGTACCGCAAAAAAGAACACATAGCCGTGTGTTCCCTAAAGGAAACTTGACTTGTTTTAACCATAAGGCAGGGGGTGGACATGGGAGCAGACAAAACCCACCAGTGTCCACTACAGATATATCCACCTTTCTTTGGTGCTGTCACCAAGCAGCAATTTCCTTTCATTACCTACTCCTATATTTCAAACACTTCCTTTCCAGCCCTCTCCCAAATAAAGAGCAAAGGCAAACAAGATAAGCAAAATACACCGGAAAACACCCAAGAATTTAGAAGGGAGCAAAAGGACTGAAAGAATGAGTGATGCCATTTTCCCCAACCTTTGGCCTGTCATTAATTACCTAACGGAACTTTGAGTCAAAGCTTTGCATCAGCCCAGATATATAATTGCTAGTGACTTACTGGCGGTAGATTCGTGCTCGCATGGTGCAACAGGTTAGAATTGTTCTGCTTGGCAGGACGGTGAAGGGTGCCGGATTGACCCAGCTCCCTCAGCTTCGCCCAGTGACCAGCAACTTCTGCCCCAGAGCCTCAGGAGACAACACAACTCACCGTGCTCCTTGAAGTGCATATAGGGGGAAGGTCAGCGGTGCCCTGGGAGCGTCCAGGACAGAATGGATTTCCCCAGAGGCAAAGGACAAGCTGCCTACCCGTGACCAAGCCAGCCAGTGCTCCAAGACCATTTCAACACAATCACAAGCAAAAATGTCTCCAGAATTATGTCTGTGGTTCACTGAATCCTCTCTGCTTCTGCCGACACTGCCAACACTGAACTACAAGGCTGATCTGTGCACGTTTAAAAGCATCCTGAGATCACCAACCCCTTCCAGTCACCCCTGCACTGGAATCAAGTGTTAATGAAATCCCTTGAAACAGAGCTCCAACAGACTTTTTAGCCTTAGGACATCTCCTTCTTGAGAACGGCTTGAGGAAACCAGCAACATCAGAACATTCACAGCCGCGATATTTCTTCCCAATTAAAGCAAAGAAGAAAGACAAAACTGTCTCTTTTCAATAGTTACCAGTAATCATTTCACAACAAAAGGCTTTGTGGTTTCTGGTACATACGATCAATGAAGATTAAATTAACATCTTGAAAATCCACATGATTATTCCACAGATATACCTTAGGCTCCCTCCTAGGTGCCCAGCTCTCTAGCAAGCTCTGGGGACCCGAACATGAATAAGATACAACTCCTGTCAAAAAGATATTACTCGGGAATAATTCACCCCTAGCGGCATATTCAGATGACACACAGGCTGCGGTGAAGGCGCGCAGGGCCCGGGTCTGGTAGTTTGCAGCTGCCCTTGCACCACCCACGGGCAGGTCCCTCCCTCCTCCACCCACTTCTGCCTCCAGACTGCACAGCCCAGGTGCCGAGAGACCACAGGGCACCCCTAGGCCAGGGTGCAGAAGGGATGGGAGTGCCTTAGCCACCCTCTCTCCCTCCTCCTGTGTGAAGCCCTCAGTCCTATTAGGACCATAGTTGTGTCCTCCCCAAAATTCGTAAACTGAAATCCTCACTCCCAGTAGGCCGGAACATGACTATATTTGGAAAGGGGGCCTTTAAAGAGATGATTAAGTTAAAATGAAGTCATTAGGGTAGGCCCTAACCCAATAGGATGGGTGTCCTTATAAGAAGAGGAGATTAGGACACACGCTCGCAGAGGAAAGATCACGTGAGGACACAGGGAGAAGACGGTGGCGTCTACAAGCCAAGGAGAGAGGCCTCAGGAGAAATCAGTGCTGCTGACACCTTGATCTTGGACTCTGGCCTCCAGACTATGAGGAAATAAATTCCTGTTGTTTAAGCAACCTTGTCCGTGCTGCTCCGATATGGCAGTCCCGGCGAAGCCAGTCCACTGCGCTGTGGCCGGAATGCAGAGACCGTACATACAGAAACTCTCAGGTTCATAGGATGCCTTTTTTTATTTCCTTCCCAATTTGCAAAGCCCAGACAGTTGAAATGCCAGACACTTCTTGCTCTTTAGACTGAAATGGTATAGCTTACTAAACCCAAACATGTGCTACGCCCACGACGACCCATCCCCCCCAAAAAAACTTACACGTGGCAACCAAATCCTGGCTTCTCCCTCATGGCTCCCCCTTCTTCCTCTCTCAGACAAGTCCCCAGACGATTTTAAGGATTTTAAGACGTTGCATAACCTGGCTTGAAAGAAAGAGCCAGTGGAGCTTTTACTGAATCTGCCTTCACGTGACGGCAACAGATTGTGAACTATACGTTTGCCAGTTTTCCCCCGTGTCAGACCATTTTTAAGTTTTGTGTGCACAGAATGGCATTTAAAGGCCTAAAATATCTATAGCCCACGAAGTTCACATAACGTGCGCAAGAACAGCTGATGCAAAGTTGGGGTGGGTTTCGGGTTTTGTTTGGGGGAGGCGGCGGCGGCTTTTCTGGTTGGTTGGTTTTGTTGTTTTGCTTTGGGGCTGAAGGCGGGAGCAGGGAACAGGAGGGAACCGAGTTACAGACAGCTATTTAGGAAAGTCCTCTCTAGACTAGAGGGGGAAGGGCTCAGGACTACTGGGGCTGGCGGGTGAGCAAGCCTGGGGTGGGGGTGGGGGGTCCCTCTATGATGACCTGGCAGGCAGCTCCGCTGCTGGGTCTCAGGGCACCCAGCCTCCACGTTAAACCCACCCCCTCTCAGTCTGTGAACAAGTGGTTGTTTTAAAAAAAAAAAAAAGTTTTTTTTAAGCAGACTTCCTGTTATGTTCAAGGAAGGCTTGGGCCGTTTTATTATTAAGCAATTTTCTTTTTAAGTTTAAAAAAAAAAAGGCCACATTTCCCCTCAGACTAAAATCTGCCTTACTCAAGTATCCATGTTTTAAATCTCATATTTTTCTTAAGCCCTTAATTAAGCCTTCCAAAAGCTCGGCTATGTTTAATTTGCATTCCGAAACAGAAAATCTAATGTGTTTTAACATTGTCTGCTTCAGCTGAAAAGGAAACTGTAAATTTATACAGTCTGGCTTTAAAAAAAAAAAAAATTGGCAATTGCATCCTAATGAGTCTCTGGAATGGGGTTCCAACGCCCCTGTCCTTAGCCTTCCGTCCCTCCTCCGTCCTCTGCTCCCTCCTCCCTCCTCCTCTACTTTCCCTCCCCCCCCCCCTCCCCTCCCCCTCGCTCCTCTGCTCCCTTCCCCCTCCCCCTCTACTTACCATCCCCCCATCCCCCTCCCTTCCCTCTCCTCCCACCCCTCTGTTTCACCTCCCATTCTTCACCTCCCCCTGCTCCCTTCGCCCTCCACTCCTTCCTGCTCGCCGCGACCACCTTCCCGCCGCAACTGCAGGCTCCCCTCCTCCTTCCATCTCCTCTCCCCCATACTCCTTCCCCTCCCCCATACTCCCTCCCTCCGCCAGCCACTCGCGGCGGGGGAGGGGCGAGCCTGGAAAGGTCACGTGGCCTCCTCGGCCTCCGGGACGGGGGAGGGGCGGCGGCCGAACCTGTTCTTTGTTAAGAGGTCAACGCCAGCGCCCAGCGCCGCCAGGAAGGAGTTACCGACGACCTTCGAAGAGCGGCGCACTCGCAGAGGCACGCCCCCCCCCTCCGTCTCCCCTCCCCCAGGCCTGCTGGCCCTGCTCTCTCTAAATCTTCTGCTCCCAAAACACTGCTCGGGCTCACAGTTTGCTCCCGGGGATCCTAGGGCCTTTCGGGGCGGGGAGTGGGGTCTGCGGAGAAACGGGAAAGGGACAGCAGAGGGGCTGGGCCGCGGGGGAGTGGCGGCCGGGTCTGGGGATAGGTGGATGCGGGGGGGCCAAGGGGGAAGGTCCTGGAGGCCGGGGGTGCTTTGTGGTAGCACTGGGGGACGGAGGTGGAGGATTTAAGGAAGGGAAAAGCCACATTCACACGTTTAGGGCTCTCCGTCCTGTCGGTGGACGCAGGAGGGTTTCTCTGAATTTCTGCTGAATGTCAAAAGGGTGAAGTTCCGCTGCACAGTTTGAGAACCGCTCCCCACTACCCAGCCCTATAATTAAACCCCCAGTAGGACCGCGCGGGAGGCTGGGCCCTGGAACTGCTGTGTGCTGCCTGCCTAGTATCGGACGCCCCATAAATGTAACCCCAGAAGCCTCTGGTACGGTATAGTGGCGAGAGGGTTCGCAGAGTTATCGGAGACGGTCGGGTTCATTACTAGGCCTCCTGATGAAATGTTTGCCACTTTCCTGAAACTTTACCGCTTAGATGTTAAATGATGTTTACTCTTCCTCATACAAAGCGAAGCATAGCCAACTTTCTGTGCAGGAAAATAAAGATTCCCAGAGAAAACCGGTGTTACTGTTTGCGTGCATGACATGCCTGTCGTTTATCTCTGCAGAAAAAAATGTTCCATCCAGACGGAGTTGAGGGTAGCGGGGAGGTGAATAATAAAATGGGGCTCGCACCGTTTAAATAGCTTAGCATTCTGATTTGGTTACCTAGCCTTAAAAATATTTTTTTAGGTCACTAAATACTTTTTAAAGGCATACTTTTAATGACGGCCTAAAATTCCAGTGTATGCATTTTGTTTTTTGTTTTTTGTTTTTGTATGCAGTTTTAATTTCCTTAATGCAGAGCATTCTTCTTGTTCAACCCTAAGGAAATGTATCCTAAATTACCTCCTTGTGTAGTTATACAAGTAACTTTCTTTACCCGCAACCCACAGTGCAAAAAAAAAAAAATGGTTACAGTTTCCTCCTGCCATGGATAAGTGTTTTGACTGCTTGCTTGGGGATTATTTGGAATTCCTATTTGAAGCTTTCCAGTGTTAAAGGTAGAAAAAACATTGGCAAATTTTCCAAGCCAAGAGCTGCTTCCTGTCCTTTTGAGACCTCAGATCAGAGAAGAGGTGGGCCTGAAGGGGGAAAAGGGATGCTTCAGGTGACTGGAGAGAACGAAAAATACCCCAATACCCTGGTCTTGGAAGGATGTGGGATGGGAAGCTCTCTGTCCCAAAGCACTGCCTGCCACGTTCCCTGGGATATCCAGCAAAGCCGAAACGTTCATGGTGAGGAGTGGAAATTTTCCCTCAGTTGTATTCTGTTAAATACACAGTTTCTGTGAATGTACACATGCACATTTTAGGGGCGTGGTGGATATCACTAATTACATATAAATTGAATGACTTTGAACGCACAAAATTACGTGGTAGGGCAAGGAGGCATCACAGAGAGAAGACATCAGTCCCCGCCTGGTAATGACAAACTTCTCAGGCCTGGGAGACATCGGGGTGATGGGTTTGAATGATTCCCTCTTTTGGTACCCATCACACGGACTTTGTAAGCAAATTGTTTCCCCAAGTTATTCTTTCCCATGCTGCAACATGGACTGTGAAAAGAAGAGATGTGAGAAAAATGCACAGCCTTTCATTTCACGAAGCAAGACCCCTCAACTTGTGTTCTATAGTCGAGAACTAATTCCAGAGGTGTCCTTGTATCTCTGCAGAACACTCACGTAGTGAATTTTTTGTTCTTTGAATCGACAACTTCGGTGTGACCAGTCGTAAATAGCCACCCAAGAGGAAAGAAGACACACGTCCACACAGACTCCTAAAACAGTGTTCACGGCAGCATTATTCAGAGAAAAACTGGAATCACCCCAGATGTCCGTCAGCAGCTGAGTGGATAAACAGAATGTGGTCTCGCCACACAATGGAATGTGAGTCAGCCATAAAAAGAAATGAAATACTGATGCGTGCTACAGCGTGGTTGCAACTCAGAAACGTTATGCTGGGACACAAAAGGCTGCCTATTATTTGATGCCATTTCTGTGAAATGTCCAGGAAGGATTAACCTGCAGAGACAGGAGGTAGCTGAGTGGTTATTGCCAGCTATAGGAGGGGAGAGATGGGGAGTGACAGACGATGAGTGCCGCGTTTCTTTTGAGGGTGATGAAAATGTTTTAAAACTACATTTGTAGTCATGGTTGTACAACTCAGAATATACAAAGAAATAACAACACTGAACTATACACTTACGGTGGGTGGATTTTATGGTATGTAAATTGTATCTCAGTAAAAGAATTTTTTAAGGCAGTAATAGAATGCAATTTTTGCAGACACTGTCTCTAAGTGAAAAGGGGCCTCTAACACAGACCTGTTGAAGACAGAGTATCTTCAAAGTAAGCCACCCTGACACTAGCACATGGTAGAGCAACTCTGTGTCAGACACTGGCTTTTTCTCTGAGGTGTTTCTCTGTGACCCTGATCCTACCGGGTCTGAGCCCTAATCACTCCGTGTATACACTTGGGCTCGGTCCTTCTAGTCTTTTCTGTCTTCCTGCATTCTGCCCGAGGAGCCTTGTGATGGTGTGCTTGGCCGCCTCTCCCAAATGCCCTACAAAAGACTCCATGAATTGCTCTCACGGGAGACTTACACAGTTAACCCCTGATTCCTGAGGCTACAGTGCAGGGTTTCCTCCAGCGATAACCTCACCACACTTAGCTGAGCTCTTTTATCTTTCCTTCTCTCCAGATAGGAAGTGCGCTCCTGACCATCCACAGTCAGAAGCACATTTCCCATCGAACCCCAATGCTCGTGAAATCACCCTTACCCATGCCATGTGTGACAAACTGTAACGTTCTTGTTTATCCACTTCCATTTCATTTTTTCAGTGCTGGTCACCACCTACTCCATTGAATTCACAACTATCTAATTATAGGAGTGACCCTCCCCAGTTCAGAAAATATAGATCCACGGGGGTATTAGGCAATATATGCAGACCTTTTGGTTGTCACAAATGGGTAGGGGGTTGCTCCTGGCATCTAGTGGGTGGAGGCCGAGGATGCTACTCAGCATCCTACAGTGCCCAGCAGAGCGCCCACAGCGGAGGACGACCTGGCCCCAGATATCACAGTGCCAAGGCTGAGAAACTCTTCGCTCGGCTTGAGCGAAGTAAACAGCAGGTGAGGATCTACTAAACAGGTCTTGTAGTTAACTCTAAAGCAAGGCTGAAGGAGAGCCCTCCGCAACTGACGGCGGTGACCTCGTTCCTGCCTCTCCTTTCTACTTGATATACGTCAGCTTCTGTACTGCTAATCCAGCGCAGACAGTGTAGGTCCCCAGGTGACTTAGGCTCGACCCGTTATCAGTATT